TTTTTTCTTTTTTGAAGCTACCTTGTTATTACCGGAAAAAGAAGAAAGGAAAAAGGAAAGTAGTTGGTAATGGTCTATATTGAGTTTTACTCAAAACCCTATGTTGGTCTCAGTTTAACTGGGATGTCTAAGTCTAAAGTGTATTTGTTGTCAAATATATTTCAAGTTTCATGCTTTTCAATTTTGTCATGCAGGGAGAGAGCTGACCGGCCTTTTCGTGGCCTTGATAGTCAATATAGGAGAGAACTTGTTAGGGTATATTTGACAAATATTGAGCAGATAAGCAAGCGTTTTGTGGAAGAGAGAAAAAGCAAGCTGAGGAAGCTGATTGAGGATAGAGCTAGATGGTCAAGGTAGTATTTGTTTTTCATGGTTTATCAATTTTCTGTGTTATATTAGGAAAATTGATTGATGGGATTTTAACCTCCGATCTCAATGAAAGAAATACATGTCTATTATCGTTGAGCTATACTCATTTTGGTGGCAGTATTTTGTTGAGGCTTTTTTTCATTCTTCAAGGATCTTCAATGATTTTGATTAGGGCAATATTATAAATACTTGTCTAATTTTTTCTTTAGATCAAAAGTAGATTAATATATAAAACTAGATGAAATACTTGGTTTTTTCCTCAGAGAAAAGGAAAAAGAATTAGATCTCTTTTAGGAGAGATCTTACACCAAATTTGCTGTGATGTTTATAGCACTAGCACAAAATCCTTACAACCTCACAGTCTAGAACCAAATAGTTGAGGCATCCCTGCCCTTTTGCACGTATTTTGTATAATCAATTCTAGACATTTTGTATGTAGCCCTTATTGTCGTCGTCGTGTCTTGTTAAATGACAACATTATTTTCATTTCTTACAGTTTTCGTGACTTCTGGTTGGGAATTGGGCAGAGTGCTAGGCGACATATGTCTAGGGAAAAGACTGATGCAATTCTAGGAGTTGTTGTAAAACACTTCTTTATAGAGAAGGAGGTGACATCTACTTTGATGATGGATTCATTGTACAGTGGATTGAAGGCTCTTGAAGGGCATACCCATACCAAGTGCAAAAAGGGGAAAGCAAAACTTTTAGATGCTGAAGAGATGCCAGCTCCAATAGTTCACATAGAAAATGACACATTTGTTTTGGTGGATGATGTACTACTGTTGCTTGAGAGGGCTGCTATGGAACCAATACCACCAAAAGAAGAGAAGGGCCCTCAAAATTGTACTACGGTGAGTCATGAGTGCCCGATTGACAGTGATTGTCGAACTCTTTAAGCGGGGAGAAAGATGGTTTTCATGAAAGCTTAAAGGCTGGCAGGTCCAGGATACAAATAAAAAATTGATCAGTTTGGTTTGTTAGGTACCCTATTGTGATGACTATAGCACTTATATTAGCCCTAGTGACAAACTTGTGAGTTGAACTGTAGACACTACTACTTAGTGATGGAATCGATACAATTAGTTTAGTATTATTGATTTTATCATCAGTTAGGAACAGGTATTTTTTTCTTGTTATACCTAATGGCATTGGAGTTGTTGTCCATAAACTGTCTGCAGGATGGTAGCTTTGGAGAAGACTACAGCAAAGATTCCATTGAACATGATGAAAGGCGTCTTACAGAATTGGGTCATAGAACTCTGGAAATGTTCGTCCTTGACCACCTGTTTAGGTACTGTGTTTTATAATTCCTTCTGTACACCTGGTTACTTTCCTCGTTGGGAGACTTCTTACTCTGGAGCTTTTTTTGCATGCCTGCATCGGTCGGTC